TAATTATAAACACAGAAGAAATCGAACGAGCATAGATCTGATGAACACTTTTCATTTCAACTCCAATTCAAAGCTACATCAAGGTGAATTCGAAGGTGTGTACCTGGAGTTACAATGAAATAGAAAGGAAGAAGAGGATCAGCAACAGTTCATTTAACTAGCAGGAGCAAAACAGTTCAATTCACCGCAGCAAATCACTTAACCCAGGTCCAACTCCAGACAATGAATCACCCAAAAACAGCTTGAATGTACTCAATGTAACTCGAAATTGACTCAGGAACACTTCTAATACTTCAGCAATCAGAACTTAGGCTAGAAGATGCAAATCAACTATTAGAACTTGAAATTGATCTAAAACTTCAATGGAACAGTGTGTTCCTGAAGTTTTGTGTTATATTTTTTTGGATTTTTTAGAAGCTACTAATCTAATCTAGGGCAGAATTTTTCAGATGTTAGACTACAATTTTTTTTGGATTTTTGCTTTTGAATTTTGAATTTTTTCAGATGTTTAAGGCTTGGGGAGCTTTTGGGGGGAATTTTTAGACTTGAAGCTTTTTTTGAGAATTTTTTCAGGTGTTAAAACTTTTGGAAAATTTTCAGGTGGTCAAACTTGTTGGGGAATTTTCAGATGCTCAAAACTTTTTGGGAATTTTCAGATGTGCAAAACTTAGCTTGCAAGGCAGGGTATACTGCCTTTTATAGGCAAATATTAGGGCAACTTTCAAATTTTTCCTTTACACCTTAGTCCCTTATTAATTTTCAGTTTTTTTAGCTTAAAGTCCTTAAGGGACTGACTCGTTACCCAAGTTATACCACTAAATTTCTGAAACTACAATTGAGGCCCTATTTTAGAAGCTTCTAGAATATTCTAGTTTGTTAATGCAAGATTCCTTTTATTTAAAAGCCTATACTACCCTTGAATTAGTTCTGAATTACTAACTAATGTTAACTAATCCCCAGCCCTGTTAACTTTGGTCAAAACTGACCACAGTTGAACAACCAAATGCTGGATTATTCAAACAAATTCAATTATACTAAAAGAAAACCTAAAATAGAACTAATAGTCTAATTATCCTATATTGAGTATCAAAAAATCGAAACTAATTATAGAATTAGACTTGAACAACCGGAATTAATCAAATACCAATCAAACCAAAATTGAAACAAATGAAGCTGCATGGAATTAATGTAAACAGGAAGAAGGAAAAGAAATCAGAAACTAAAAACTCTAAAACAAACTAGCAAACAAAAATGAAGAGCAGAAAAAAATAATACTAATTAATCAAACTAAAATCACTAAAAATCAGATGCTAGAACAAACAAAGAGCAGGACAGAATTAATTCTATTAACAATTTTCTTAACTATATACTACAACAATCAATAAGAGCAAAAGCTAAAAAATAAGCAAAACAGTAAAGATGATACAAGAAAACTTACGCGAAATCAGAATCAAATTTGAATGCCTTTGAACTCGATCCCCAAATGATGTTATTTGCCAAAATAGGCAAATAACATCATATAAGAATCAACTGAATACTGAGAAACTTCCGAGCAGATGAAAATTCCCAAAACCCCAACTCGAAACCCTAGATCTAGGATTCGAGCAACTATGGTTAGATTTGAAGAAAATTGATTTAGGATTTAGACAGAAGGGGGTGAGGAGAGTCTATGATGTAATTTTGGTTGGATTTGGGTGATTTAGGGTTTAGCCGCCTCTCTTTGATTCAATATTTGAGACGTTTGGCTGGGATTTAAGGGAAAAGGGGTTTGGATTTGGAAAGGGGAAGATGAGAGGAAGCTGTGGTGTATTTTTGGTGAGGTTTGGAGGGAGCCGCCGCCGTGGGCGGCGGAGGCGGCGTCTACAAATTTGGTTATTCGAACAGTTCGGCAGAGATTTGGGGAAAACAAAGGCTGAATTCGTGACGGGAAGGACGAGAAGGTACTATGGTGTAAATTTGGAGTTGATCGGAGCTTCGCCGCCGGCGGAGACGATTTTCGGCGGCGGTTTGCGGCGGAAGGCGGTGAGGAATTAGGGTTTAAGTGTGGGGGACTCTGAGAGACGGACAGGAGGGGGGGGGGGGGGAGTAGGCATCCGACACTAATATATCAACCAGCCCTCAGTTCCTGACCGTTCGATCAACAAAACCTAGACGGTCAGGATTAAAACTCCCCGAACGACGTCGTTTTGAGGGGTTTAGGGCTGGACCGGGTTGGATCCTGGGTTGGACCAGGTTTGATGTGGGATTGGGTCATATGGGCTGCTGATTTAGCATGGCCCAATAACGGACCAGCATGATTTTGTACCTTTTTTCTTTTAATTCTTTTCATTTATCTTTTATTTATTTATGGTTTCAACTTTAAAAACCAAAATAAAATTAGACCTAAAATTAATTCAACCTACCTACTTAAACTACAATTAGACTAATACCAAATTAATTAACGAACCTAAAAACTAAAATTAAAATCAAAGAAAACAAATCAAAGTTTCTTTATGATTTTTGTATTTTTGTAAAAGCCTAATTACTAATTAGTCTAAAAATATGTAAAATTAAAACCTAAATGCTCATGCAATATTTTTGTGTTTTGTATGAATTATCATGCACACACAAATAAAAATACACACAAAATTACGCAATTAAATCCTAAAAAATCAAATAATAAAAGGGAAAAATCCTAATTTTAAGAATTCTATAGGAGTAATTCAAGCGAAGCAAAAATCACGTGCTCACAATATTAACTCATAAAACAAGAAATTTAAAAAAAAATAGAACCAAGGCAACAAAACATCAATTAAGGAATAAAATGCTAAAAGAAATATTAAAACAAAATCCCTTTAAAACGTTAACCTATTTACATCCTAATTCCAATGTAGACTTCTTAAATGATTTTAATTTAACAACATAGATGAGAAGTTCGTAATCCAAATGATTGCTTTTGACAAGAATAGGCCTCAAATTACTACTGCTTAATATTTATTAAAGACACCCCTCTAATGTAACACAATAATCTAAATTGTGCTCCCCATTTTTTATAAAAGAGAGATAAGAAAAGCTGATACAAAATTAATGCAAACAAAATATAAGCACATTTAAGTGAGAGGAAACATGTACGAAGAAAACATTTTCAAGCAAGAACAAAGTAGAACCCAAATGCTAACTGATAAACATAGAAAAGGAAAGAACCTTTATATTAAACTTTCAACTTTTGATTTTTCCCACTGATGATTTGCTCCAACACAAGATGGAATCACAGAAGAGACCTCAACGGAAAGACACACATTGTCGACCTCGAACTTTCGCTGGAACTCAATCGACCTCAGCCGAAGCTTCGTTTCATCGGTGAAAATAGAGGCGAAAGGTATCTACTTTATGTTCTGTTTTATGGTTGTCTTGTGAGTTGGTTTTAGACGTTAAAAGGGGTAATAGAAACTGATTTTGATGGAGCTTAGGATGAGATTTTGGCTAGCTTTTACGATTCTCTGTGTTAAAATCGTCCCTCCCCCTTTCTGTTTTCGTCCCTCTTTCTTCTCTTTTTCAATTTTCCTTTTCCCAAGATCTTCTCTATTGCTCTTTGTCCGTTTTTGTTTTTTTTTTTGGTTTTCTCCCTTGTTTTCAATTTTTGACCTTTTCAAATTCTCCCCAATTCCTTCTTTTCCCTTTTTTCTTGTTTTCTTTCGTCAGTTCCCCCCTTCTATAATGGGATAGTATTATATGTAGTGTGTGTAGATGATGGGAGATAGTGGGGATATGGAGAGGATGTGAGGGGTTACGTGAGAAGTAGGATTAGTGATTAAATTAGGATCTTTTTCCCCATTTCTTTTTTTTTTTTTTTTGTTGTTAAGAGAAATAAAAGAAAAATATAAAGATAAGAATATTCATTATCTATTTTAGACCAATACAAATATATACTTGGACTATAATTAAATGGCGCTAAAAATTAATTAAAAGTTACTAGTCTACTTATTAAGTTCTTAACTAAACAAAAATATTTTTTCTTCTATTTAAATATAGGAACAAAATATATACTCTAAGAATATGCAATTTTTTTTTGTTGTAGCTTTTTAATTTTTCTCAAATAAAACCAATGAAAAAATGAGATAAAAATTTAAAGTATCAAGATTAGACCTAAAAGAAATATTTACATTAAAATAGAATAGAATTTGGATGTGGTAAAAAATTAGGTGTTCACGGTTTCTACTTTCTAGTTTTAGTTGAAGTGAATATTAGTTATTAGGTATATATGTCTAGTAAATTTATGGATTGTGCATTGTTCTTATACTACATTAGATTTGAACATCTGAATTTACTAGCATAGCAAGTTTTAAAAGAAAGGACAGCTCGGTGCACAAAGTATTCATACAGGGTCCGAAAAAGGGCCCCACCGCAAGTGATGTGATATAGACAGTCTAGCCTAATGCAAATAGTAATGTTTGCTTACTAGCATTGCAAGTTACATGGTATAAAACAAAACAACAACAATAACATACCTAGTGTAGTCCCACAAGTGGGGTTTGGGGATGGTAGAGTGTACGCAGACCTTACCCCTGCCTTTTAGAAGGCAAAGAGGCTGTTTCCGGTAAACGCTTGGCTTAGGAAGGGAAAAGGGGAAGGGCAATAACAAGTAAACCGATCTGACAACCGAAGCGAAAATACAAAACCAGCACTAGGTAATGCAATCAGAAAACCGAAACAAAAAGACAACAACAAGTAGTAATAGAAGTCTAGAGATACGAAGATACACAAAAGATACTAAGGGGTCGTTTGGTTGGAAAGATGTTATCCCAGGATTAGTTATCCCGGAATTAGTTATTCCACCTTTTCATGGGGATAAAAAAATACTACAATTCCAGGATAATTAATCTTGGCATTAATTATGCCGCAATTTTCTCCCAACCAAACATGGGATAAACTCTTCTGTCCCTCCTACCAAACGAGCCCTAAGTGGTGTATCAAAGCTATTGTTACAAACAAGGCTGACACTCGTCTACTGTTACATGGTATAAAACAACAAGAAACTTATATCATAACATAGCAGCTAGCATGTACTTGTATCAGAAAACTCAGAACATCGATCTCGAATAACAGTATAACACAAGTAACAAAGGAATATAGGTCCCAAATCCTAAAATATGTAGGAACATACAACTAAAAATGCAGCCTAACTATTCACAAGAAAATAATAAGCTGAGCTAGTTGAACAAAGATAAAGCATAGGATTACAGTGTCCATTTGTCTCACATTCTGCCGTACTCCACATCCTCAAAAGGATTGGAATTTGTACCCGATCGCTGATTCAATTGTACCTCCGGCTGCTCTACCTCTAATCCTCCGTTAGTATGGTGGACATGTTGTGTGTTACTGCGAACCTCCTCCAATGCCCGGAAATATGCATATGGTCCCCATCCTGAGGACAGAGATAATAAAAGAACAAGTAAATTTAACGATATCCAATCAAGTTGTACAAATCATGAGCTTCTAAGATTAACTTATACAAAGATAGAGCCTGAATAACATAAATAACTAGAGATAAAGAATGAGACCCCAACCGTCGTTCATACGACCGGGGGGGCTGGGTGTTGGCAGGGGATCAATTGAATCGCCTTCCGAAAAATTATACTGTACAAATTGGGCAAAGATGACATTTTTGATTGTATAAACCATTGAATTCCCTTGACACAAGGGAACATTCTATCTAGTGATAAAGGAGGTTCAAAGTTGTTTTAGGTTATAGGTTCAAATCCTATATGCGACATTCTAGTATACTCTTTTGAATCCTCTTGTATGTATTTCCGGCTCGCCACACAGGGGCGGATGTAGAGTTTGGCCGCCGGATTCATCTGAACCCACTACTTTCGATGCAAAACATAAATTTATGTGTAAAAATTCATTAAAATTGCAATAATGATAGGTCTGAACCCATAACTTTAAAAATACAATAGGTTCAATGCTAAAAATCTTAAAAGTTGAACCCATATCTAAATCCTAGATCCGCCTCTGCCGCCACATAGGACTATCATATTATGCTAAAGTATTTGATATTTTTTTTCATCTGAATGAATTCACCATAATCTTCTTGTTATTCGTTCTATCCCTTCCCTTGATCATTCGCAACAATAAAGAAAATCCTAAGGAAATTAACAGAAAACACTGCTGTACTTCTGGACTTCTACTGATACTATATGTAGTGCAATAATAACAACAACGACAACTATGCCTCAATCTCGAACAAGTTGAGGTGGGTCTGTTGGATTGCGAGGACTTAAAACACAAAATATAATAAAAGCAGGAGGAGATTAGTGGAGACCATACCTTCAGTATGGTATGGAGCTGGGAAGAACTGCAGGTAGCAAAGTGTTGCAACAACAAGGCCTGAATCGAGAAAGACGTAGAATATTAGTCGAAAAATTGAAATGCAACCGTCATTTACTGCACAATGCAGAATTTGAAGACGAACCTATCAATCCTCCGGCAAACACGTCTTGCCAATGATGCCAGTAGTCATCCACACGTGAAATCCCGACAAGACATGCCATTAGGAGAGGAAGAATAACTATACATAGTTTTGCTACATGTCCTCCACGATCAAATGCTTTAATCTTCCCTGCCAAATATAATGATAGAAACCCGAGACCAGCAAATGACCCTGCAAAGAAAAACCATAATTTTGTCGATATGAGATGCAGCACCCCTATTGAAGTCTATGAGCAATCTTTATTAAAGGTTTCGACGAAAAAATCTCCAAAAAATCCTGATCTGATGTACTCGGATATAGAGGAATTGGAGAAAGTTGAGCTACATACATGAGGTATGCCCGCTTGGAAAGCTCTTATGTCCTTCCTTTATATCACTTTCTTTGCCATGACATATCACGTCTCCCCACTGATCATAAACCTGAAAAAAAGAACCGGAAAATGAATCAAATGAACCAGTAAAGAATAACAACAACAAATCCAGTGTAATTCCACATAGTGGGGTCTGGTGTATATGCAGACCTTACCCCTATCTCGCGGAGATAGAGAGGCTGCTTCTAATAGACCCTCGGCTCAGTGAAGCACAAGCACAGCAATAATGAAAAAAAGACAGCCAGACACAACAATGAGGAGCCATAGAAAAGAAGCATTGAAAACAACAAGATAGTAAGATGACCAAAACGAAAGCAACAACGTGCAATAATAGAAACCTAAGACTAAAAACAATACGAAAAATGAACCAGTAAGCAAACTATAACTCAAGTTAATGAAAGAGTTGAGCACCAATTTAAGCAATATGCTGGTAAGTCAGTTATGACAATCAAGAATATCAGTTAGAAATGCATAGACTTTTATTGAGTCTAACAGAAATGAGCTATGTTGCTACCCTTAGCTATTGCAGTTTGATCAATAATTACTAGAAGAACGATAAAGCACATGAAGAACCGTCAAGTTTTGCAGCCTAGAGTACTTTTGCACAGCTAAAATATAGAAGCTTTGATTCACTAAAGCATTTACTAGGAAGGAGTAGCATTATCAGAAAATCAAGAACTGGATACATACATCTTTACCATCAGGAAAACAACGCCAGAAAAAGTCAGGTCGAGGACGGCCTACTGCATTCTTGATGGCATCCGTGAGTACAGCCGTAATTAGTATGGCAAATAACAGGCCTGCAATTTTTGAAGAACTTTAGCACAATTAGTAAAGTTACTTGGCAAAACAAAGGGAAAACATTCCTTTTACTACTACAATGAAAATCAAAGTCACACAGAAATGTTATATCTACTGAATACTCCACTCCATACACCCCCATTGCTCGGAAATTCACTCAAAATATGAAAGAAAAAACATGGAGAACTAAGAAGGAAATCAACAAAACCAAGATCTAAATGATTTACTGTAGTTTGAAAGGGGAAAATTGCTCTAAAGAAAAAGGGCGTTTGGTGCACTAAGCTCCCGCTATGCGTGGGGTCCGGGAAGGTACGCAGCCTTACTCTGCATTTCTGCAAGAGGCTGTTTCCATTGCTCGAACCCGTGACCTCCTGGTCACATGGCAGCAACTTTACCAGTTAGGCCAAGGCTCCCCTTCGAAAATTGCTCTAAAGAAATTACCTAAAATGCTGTGGTGCAGATCGTAGACGTCCCTCCTCCTCAGATAGATGAGAACAAAGATGATAATAGGCAATATAATTGCATATAGCTGTTCATCAGACAAATATGTTAGGAACACTAGAAACTCTGAGATTTAAATACACTTTCTCTACATTACATTGATACTCGACTCGATATGTTAAAAAACTATAGGTAAACTTACAGGAACAGACCACACTGGGACTGTATTATCTTTCATGGGATACTTCAGATCTGTCATCATATCCTTTCCAACAAAACGATGAAATGGACCGATGACATAAAGGACTATCTCTATAACTACGAGCAGCAGCAATATAAGCCAGTCATGCATGTGAATTCTTGCAACTGATGATCCATGAGACTTAATAGTATGTCCGCACCCGAGCTCAATCTCATTTGTGTTGCCCTATTTCATTTGCAACAGATATATTAGTAACCACATTTGCAAAATCAAATTGATTGTTCACTTGATAAAACATTCTAACAAGCAAAAGTTCTTTGAAGTTAGCAAAACCAGAATGAATAAGCAGTTCATTTTGAAACACATGACATAAATGTGAATACAACAACAACTACCACTACGCCTTAATCACAAACAAGTTGGGTTTGGCTATGAATTCGGGCAGTCCATATCGCTCCATTTAAGCTCATCTAAGTCCAAAATAATATATAAGATAAAAATAGCACTTGTGAGATTTCATTGGGTTGTTATTGTTTTAAAATGAGATCGCTTTGACCACAATATGCTGACTTCTAGATACTAATCCTGCGGAAATAATTCGTCGGAAATATACAAATAAATAAAAACAGTATCTGCACTATAAGATCTTCAAATTTTACTAGGATTTCACAAATCCACAAGCCTGCTTAATTAGAATGTTGATCATAGGTTCCCTATAACCAAGGAATACCATAGCTTAATCCCTCAAGTCTACTCACCCCCCCCCCCCCACACACACACACACACCCCAATATTGGATTTTTCATCAAAAACTCTGCAGAGAACTGCTAAACAAGAAGTCAAAACAATTTAAGTACCATACACCATATGGAGTAAAGGGAAATTGCAAGAGAAGAATAATAGAAACAGCAATTCATAAGCAGAACCAGAAATCAAAAAATAAAAATAAAACCAAAACTAAAAATATATCATAAAAAATAGGTAAGAAAAAAAGAGCAAAGCAAAAAGGGCCAACAAACCTGAAACACAGTCTTAATCTTCTCTTTCCAACCCATTTGGACACTGCTGATACTTCAACTTCAAATTCCAAAGAGCAAAACCCAAACTCAAAAATAATCTTGGAACCTAAAATCCAAAAAAAAACACCAAAATTTTAAAAAAGGAGACAATATTTATCAGCAAAAAATCCTTCTAGATACGCTACCAAGAGTCCAAGACTTAGTCTTTATCATAATAAGAACAACTTTGACTTTTAAAAACAAATTAATGGAGTTAAATCAAACATTAAACATTGAAAATTACCCTTTTAGCAGATATTTTCTGGTAAGCAAAGCAAAAGAATGTTTCAAATGGGCCCCCCCCACAAGTTTCTGCTTAAAGCTTTAAGTTTTCAGCAAGAAAAATGGAGCAAAATTACAGTATAAATTGAAGATTTTATCAGCAAAAATTCTTGTAGATATGATACCAAAACTGACTAATATTATCATTAAAAACAACTTGACTAATTAAAAGAAATTAATGGAGTTAAATCAAATACTAAATTAAACATTGAAAACTACCCTTTTAGCATATATTTTCAGGGAAGCGAAAGAATTTTTCAAACCTGTCCCCCACAAGACCACAAATTAAAGTTTAGATTTTTCCAGCAATGAACAGAAGGCAAGAAAAGAAAAGAAAAATGGAGAAAAGAGAAACTACAGGGTGTGAAATGAAATATGTATAATAATGGATTTTATGTTACAGTTAAGAATTTAAAATGTTCAACAACTATGTAGAAATGGTGCCGAGGTCCAAGGAAAGAGATCGCTAGTGCTTATTTTTGAAATAGAATTTTAAAATATGGATAGGAGATTACAAGATCAAATTTGATCAGAACCGTTGATTTTGTCAACATTATTAAGCGCGTGGTCATATTTTGACGGCTTGGTTGGTTAGTTGGGTTATAACTGCCAAGGACGTGTGGGGCCCACACAAGAGGAGAGATTGGTCCAGCTCATTTCCAAGCAAATTCTAATTTTTTGTTTTTATATAATAGAGACTATGTTACTCTAAAGAGAATTTACATAGTCAATGAATATTAATTAAATTTTGAACTTATAGCACGTGCAGGAGAAGCCTAGATACCCCGGTTAGGAGGTGTGAGCGGTTGGTTTTCGCAGGTACGAGAAGAAGTAGAGGGCGGCCTAAGAAGTATTGGGGCGAGGTGATTAGACAGGACGTGGTGCAACTCCAGATTTCCGAGGACATGGCTCTTGATAGGAAGGTGTGGAGGTCGAGCATTAGGGTTGTAGGTTAAGGGGTAGTCGAGCGATTTTCCTCTTCGTATCGGCTAGTCTGATAATATTTTCGTTGTTTATGTTGTGTTTCACACTTTTTCATAGTATTTGTGTTATTGCTTTTCCATTTATTTGCTGTCTCTCATGTTGCTCATATTATTTTTTTGATTTCTGTTATTATCACGGATCTGTTGTCTCTGAGCCGAGGGTCTCCCTCAAACAACCTCTCTATCCTCCGGGTAGGAGTAAGGTTTGCGTACACTATACTCTCCCAGACCCCACTGGTGGAATTTTAGTGATTTGTTGTTGTTGTTTGTAACCTATGTACGTTTATATGTATACAATATATCAAAATTATTCTTAGAATTTTATGATCTTCAAGATGTCATGTAATTCCTGTGAGAGTATATCATTAAGAACAAAATAAGAATGTAAAAATTAAAGAGTGTTTTTTTTTGTTTTGTCATAAATAAAGAGTGTTTTAATGTAAAAGTTTATCAATTTCTTATTGAATCGGATGAAAAAGAAAAGTATGTTACTTTAAGCTAACAGAGAGTGGGAAAACATTATGGTTAACTTATATTAATCTTACTTTAAGAAATTCCAAACTAAAATTTCAAAACAAATAAGTTGTAGAGCTATTGCTTTGTCAACAAAGAAACTATTGATTTTTCTGTTTCTTTGACTATATATTCTAGAAAAAATGGTTGGGTAGAGAATTCTGAAACTTAGGTTCGTCGCTCGAGGTCATCACGTATTTGATATAACGTAAAATAGTGGTTTCTTAATTAATGTAAGTGTTTCCAATTTAGTTGTCGTAATTTTAAAATATTGAAAATAATGTATTTTCAAAATATTTCACTGTTTTACCAGTCTATCAAAAACACTATGACTGAAAAGGTTAAGGAACTTTTATTGAACGTGATGAGATTGATGAAATTTCTTTAATCTTAATAAGAGGTATCAAGTTGAGAATTGCTAAATCTGTTTTAATGAATTCTATGTAATGCAAATCCGGATTGATCGGACCAATGAGTAATAGATGCCAAATAGTTTTAAAAGAACCAAACCATATTATAGTATCAACTAATAAAGTTATAGTCTTGAGGTATTAGTAAAAGACTTTCACGTAGTAGATGTAACTTGAATTTCCACTATTTTTTAAAAACAACATTATAGTAGTTCATCTCTATCTTGCTTTTGTTGTTGTTGTTTCTCTTTTATCTTTTTCTTGAGCCGAGTAGAGGTGGATCCAGGATATTAGTTCTATGGATTCAATATTTACTGTTTTAAGTATTAAACCCATTATATTTTTAAAATTATGGGTTTATATATACTATTTATTATTATTTTTGTGAATTTTTACACAAATTAAATTACTGCGCTTGAGAAATGTTGGGTTTAGATAAACCCGCTATTCGAAAGCTGCATCTGCCCCTAGAGCCGAGGGTCTATTGGAAACAACTTTTTTACCTTTACAAGATAGAGGTAAAGTCTGCATATACAGTACCTTTCTCAGACCCCACTGTGTGATATTATACCGAGTTTCTTGTTGTTATTCTACAATATGAAGTATGGACCATCCAAGAAAGGACCGTAAACACGAATGACAGCGAGGGAGTGCTAAATTTTGGAGTAGTTGACCATAAAACATGCTAAATTTTGGCACAATGTTGTTAGGTTGTTAATTAATACTTCAATTAATTGCTTAAAACCAAACTTCATATAGATCGCTAGCAAATTAAAATCATGCGTTGGGCTTAAAATACTCATTAAAGAATAAAACTTTTGGGGTAGTTCATCTGCTTTCTCAATAAATAATGATTTTGCCATGTTTTACAAATGAATTTCTTAATAAAAACAATCAGCCTAATGAGACCATCAAAATTTTTAACCACATAGTTTTTTCTCCTCATCTCTTAAGGTAGATACCAAATCCAATCTAAAATATAGACACGTTTGGATAGTTGTGCAATGTTCGGTCAGACTTTTCTATAACAATCATTCTTTACAATAGCACTTTATTATAACGGGCAAGTTTTCTTTGAAACCAATTTTTCATGTTATGCTATACGTAATATATATTCTTTATAATAGCACTTCACTATAGCAGCCAAAAAATATCGAAACTGACGAGGTGCTATAAAAAGGTTTGACTATACTCGAGAAATAAAAGAAAAAGAACCTACAATTATTTATCAAATTTAAAGATTATGTCAGAAATACCAAGGAGAAATAATAATTTCTAATTCAAATGCTTTTCTGAAAAAAATTCTATCATGGGAGAGGGAAGGGCGATTATTGTGTGAAAATATTTCACTAGTACCACTAAACTATATAGTCAGATCTCTCTATAATGACATCGCTATATAACAGTCATTCACTATAAAAATCAAGTTGTTTATGGAACCAAATTTCATGCTATGTTATAATATATGTTCTCTATAACTGTCACGACCTAATTTAGGATCATGACCGACGCTTAGGAGCAAGTGCCCCCAAATAAGCCTCATCGGTATTTTACAGAAAATCGGACAGACATTCCCCTGTTTTTGGACTATCCCAAAAGTTTTCCTGTCTCAAATCAACAACCAAACATCCTAATATCAATTTAAATGACAATGACTTTATCAATTAACCAAAACAAATATCTACCATTAATAGTCCACCCACTAACAACTTGAAATACCACTTTATCTCCAATTTTGATAAGAATGAGCGATACTCAACATAAGTCTATAAAAAACAAAAGAATACTCAAGACACAAAAAAATGACTAAGAAGCGACTCTAAGAGTTCAAAGAAAACACCATAACAATAAATAAAATCTCCGCCCACGCGAACAAGTGCGAGGCTCACCAAGAACTATCAACCTGTGCGCTCTAATTAACAAAATTCTCGCCCGCGTTAACTGCTGTCGCTGTAAAAAAAATTAGCGGGGAATGAGTCGCTAGCTCAGTGAGTAATAACACTTAACCACAACCGTTTTTATTGGGGACAAGTCAGAAACATGCTCGTATCTCAAACAGAAAATAACATAAAAATGCCCTTTCAGAAATAATAAATAATTTTCAGTCTCATCATGCTTTTCTTGTAGTATAATACAAATACAATTCAGTAATAAGCTCGGTAACCACTGTGTAATATCAATATTCACATTTGGGAGGTTTCAATGAACGTATCATGTAAACGGTATAACTGTGGACTTCTTCGCAAGAAGTCAAATATAACGGTAGTCCCTACTCGAGGAAAATCGGTAACGGTATGCTGGTTCTACCTTCCCGCTAGGGAGGACTATAACTGTACTCTGTAATCGGTAAATACAAGGTGCACCAGGTCTAACGAACCCACCGTTAGCTACGGGATCCTTCAAAGTTTACTCCCATTTATACTTGTTTCTGTATCCATATATACTCATAGGAAAATATTTTAAAACAATATAGGGCATTTTGGTTCTTCTCAAATAATGTAATTTCATTTCGATAACAGTAAATTCAAGTAAAGGTAAAACATATCTAGTGACAGCAAGAATATTTAAAACAACGGTAATCATCTCAAATTACTATTTCGGTATCATATCGAGTAAAAGACTTGTCCCACATGGAACTCAAAATAATCGGTAGCATATTCATATTAAACATCATGTGTAAATCATACTAGTTATGAAAACACAAATTGCGGTAAGGTTACTACTCACAGTACTCGTACCGAAATACCAAATGCTTCACCTCGAGCAAATCGTACAACTTCCTCCAATCAATCTATAATTACATAATATCGATCTCATGTTAATTGCCTCGTTCAGGCTAAATCCATCAGTAATTTAGAATACCCAATCATCGGGGTTCATGTTTGAGTCTTAGTTTGTGGATTTATATTTAATCATAGAACTAGTCCATAATTCTATCAATTTCAAACTATTTAGTATAATTTATTCCTCTAAAATTAGACCTATCAGTGCTTAAATCAAACCTTTATACCACATGAAATTGAATTCTTTTTTGCATAGATGCAGTGAAATAATTCAACAGATGAGAAGAAGAAGGTTAACCTCTTGAGTCGAAGGAGAACTTTAATACTTTCAATTTCAACTCTCAGTTCTTCTAAAGGCCTTTGCCCAAAGCTTTCTTCTTCTTCTTCTCTTTTCTTTTTTTTTTTCTTTCTTTCTTTCCTTCTCTGGTTTTGTTTTTCCTTTTTCCGTTTTGTTTTTCCTTTTTCCGTTTTGAAGCTGCTGCTTCGTTTCTCTTCACAAGCTTTATTTGAAGCTTTTCCCAAACCCTTTTAACCTTTGGCTATTTTAATGGGCTTGGCCCTTTTGTTTCATTTCTTACTTTTTCCCTTAGTTATTTTGTTTTATTAATTTGCTTTCCTCTTTTTTTTTAATTAGTTATTATTATTATTATTATTATTATTATTATTATTATTATTATTATTTGCTAATGACCAATACACCCTTATAAAAATATAAGGTATTACAATATCGTCACTTTGCTATAACAGGCAAAAAAATCCGAAACAAATAAGGCTTTTATAGAGAA